ATGAACATCTCATTTTAAAATATAAAAAATCTAAAATATAATTAGAATAATTATTGAGTTCCAATAAAATAAATAATTATTATCTTTATAAAAAATTAGATTATTAAACCAATTACAAATTACTTCGTTATTGTACATAAATTAAATTATAAAAAGATTGAATTAAAAAATTACACAAAAAATGAGGAATTTCAAATAGTTAATTTGATACTAATATCGATATATTGTTGTCAAATTTTTATGATATCTTCAACATATATTTTATTAAAAAATAAAAACATCATCGTTTTCTCAAAATCACATAAAGCCATATTATAACATCGACTGAGATAAAAAATAAAATGAAATATTAAAATCACGATGTATCTCGCTGCATTGCGCGAGTACGCTTCTAGTTAATTATTAAGCTAACCATGAAAGTAATTATTTATATTATATTATAAAATATTTAATAAAAATTCTTAAAAAACTATTTTTTATGTATGAAGTACTGTTTATTGATGCATATTAGTTAAAATTCAAGATTACAAGTAAATTATGCGTAAATACAACTTATTAAAGCTTTTTGTTTGAATTCGTATAACTAACTGCGGATAAACACAATCAAATAAACGATAAACATCTCATTTTATAATATTATAATCTAAAGGTTAATTATTAGGTTCTAACAAAATAATTAATTATTATTTTTTATAAAAAATTATATTATCAAACCAAATATAAAAAATTACTTCGTTATTGAACCTAAATTAAATTATAATTAAAAAATTACACAAAAATGGGAACTAGTTAATTTGATACTAATATCAATATATTTTTCTCAAATTTTTTAATATCTTCAAATTTATATTTTATTTAGAAATAAAAATATTATCACTTTTTCAAAAATCACATAAGACCATATTATAACATTAACTGAGATAAAAAATAAAACGAAATATTAAAATCAAGATGTATCTCACTTAATTGCACAAATATCCTTATAGTATATTATAAAATATATTTATGTAACCGTCGTATCTAAATAATTTTTTGAAGTTTTGGTAAAAGTTAAGATTTAATCATATATATCTGTTCTTCATGAACACTTATATTATATTAATTCAATAAGAAACAAATGATTAATTTATTTTTCCTTTTGTTAGAAATCAAGACAAGTGGATAAAAACCAACTAAAATGTGAGATGTATTATGATGTTATAACCAAGGGTGTATGTGGGTTGGGTTGAACGGTTTGCAATAATTTTACAATCCAACTCAGTTATGGCGGTTTGAAAAAATGTCAACCCAACCAAACTCATTCAAAAGTATAACCCAATCTAACCCAACCAATTCAAAAGTAAAAGGGTTAAATGCATGAAATAGCAACCTACTTTCATAAAATTTCTTATTATAGCATTCTACTTTTGTTTTTCTTTATTACAGCAATGTACTTTCAAATTAATTTTTATTAAGGCATTTTACTTTAAAAAATCTACCCATAATAGCAATGGGTAACCTGTTACCTTTTAAACCGGTTAACCCTTTGACTTTTTTTGCTTGTGTGACTTTAATGAGGTGATTTGGATGCCACATCATTTTGATGACTTAACTAAAAT